TGAGCTGTGAGGGATAACCTAGGGGAAAAGTGCTGAGGTTGGTCTCATTTTTCCACTTGCACAAAGAAAGCTCTACAGGGAGGTCTTGTAGTTTCTACAGGGGAAATGTTTTTCTAGTGGTTTTTAATATATGGAAAATCACATCTTTCCTGATTTTTCCAGAAGACTTCTTGATTGATGCGAGAATTATAATGAAAGTTTTCCTTGATTTTAAATAATTAGGGTTGATTTTTTTTTACTTAACCTCTGAGGAGTATGATTTAAATCACAATTTGCTTCTATTTACTTCTAAAGGATTTTTAAGCTTGCATAAAAATAAGTTCTTAATTGACCAGTTACCAGCTCTAATATCTCAACACTGTTTTCAGAAAAACAGTTTAATTTGTTCTTCAGTCATCTAAAGAAGTGTTTCCTGATTTTTTTTTTTTTTAATCTAAGCTGAAGAAGAAATTGCTTGAATGACAGAGGGGAAGAATAGACTTTTTTTTTTCTTTGCAGATTACCATTAATCAGAACTGAATAAGCAGATAACTGAACGAGCACTACATAATGCTAAATGCTCTCAGTGGTAGTACAAGGTTGGCATTTTGGGAAGTCTGACACAAAAAGCCGTACCCGTGTTAGCAAAAATCCCAGCTATGGTAAAGAAATACAGAGACAGATAACTGAAAATCAGGATGGGACAGAAAAAGTACACGTGTGCTCAGAAATACTGAAAACAGGAGTACAATAAACAGGGGGAAAAGCAACAAAGAAGAAACATGTATAACAGGAGAGAAAAGTGGAAAATAACAGCAACAGTATCAGGCTCCTTTAGGAAACTCTAAACGTCTGTTACGTCCATTCATATCTAGGAGAGCGTTTAACTGCTGGTTAATGTTGTACATGCGGTACCCTGTCACCTTGGAGCAGAACCAGCCGGAGCCCAGAGAGGTCCGTGGGAAGCACACCTCACACGGTGATACACAGAGCACAGCACGAGTAACAGTAGGCACAAGTTCAAGGTTGCCATTAAGGACTATTTTCTGAAGAAAATATAAGTGTATAATTTAATCTTGGTGGCAGGTACTTAATAAAAAAGGTTTTGATGCCTGAATGACCGGTAAGAAAGTTTTAACTCCAATGATTAACGGCAGACTGCACATTTAAATACAGAACTTTGCCAAAATTTGTTTCCCTGAAAGTAATGAGTCATGTTAAATTGATTTTCTCTTTTCTCTCATCATTCATTATTCTTGTTATTTCTTTTCTATGTCTTTCAAGATCTCCTGCTTGTAGAGAGTCCCACAGCAATATGCTTATACGTTAATGAGATAGCGCAGACATTTAAAAGGCTTTCCATTTTAGCAATAGCGTGTTACACTTTAACTGGGTTGATTACTGAAATAAATATGAAGAGAGAATTTTCTGTCATGGTGTGACAGTGACTAAAGGCTGCCCTACCGTTTCCGCAACAGACCCCGTCGCAGCAGAGCAGCATTCTGGACAACGGGCAGGAGGAGGTGTCTGTGAGCAGCCAGTGGAACCCCTACCCGCTGGGGCGGCGGGATGTGCCGCCGGACACCGTCACGAAGAAGGTAAGCAGCACCTGCAAGCTGCGGACATAGCTGCCCTTGTCTCCTCTTCCCAGTGAATCACTGGAAGGAGGAGAGCAGGTTAATGAGGACAGGTTTGGGAAACGTGGTTTTGTTTCCAAGTTTAAAGCAATAATCATTATGAGCTCAGGATGGTGTTTTCATGCCTGCTACCTGTTCTTGTATTTATTTATGCACCTAGAGTGTGTGCAGTGGGCACAGTGGGCTTGGTGGGTGTATTCCTGCACGTATCAGATGGCCGTCAGCTCCCTCCTGTCCTGAAAAGTCTTCGTTCAGATTGTTCATTTCAATTACATTCTTCAGTTCGTGACAAAAGGCAAATGTGTTGAGATGGAGGCCAGCCCAGTGTCTGAACAGTCACAGAAATTTTGGCAGAGACATCCTAGGCACGCATCATTTGCTATAAACTCACAAGAAAGGGTTCTAATTTCTCGTACCTTGTGGCAGTAGATATTAAATTCCAGTGCTTGGATCTGGCCCGTTTCTATGAAAACATTGGCTGCTCTCTCCCAGCCCCAACTTGGCTTTGCTCATCAGCTGAGAAACTGCGTTTTTCAGATGCTCTAATCATAAAGCTGGAGAATGGAGGATCTTGACAAACTCAACTGTGTTTGCAATCAGCATTAGAAGGTGGAGCCGCACATTTAAGCAGTGATAATTTGATAATTACATTCATTGTTATCTCTATGGAGATTGGTCCTGCTCATTCCTGAAGTCAAGTTGTCTGAGTGAATAAAACCGGTGTGAAAGCCGTAATGCGCACACTGATAACGTCTGTAACGTAATTAACTGCCAGCCCTGATGAGGCAAATATTTCCCTGCTGGCTTCACATCTTTTTCTCCAAGACAGTTTGAGAAGCAGTAGACCTTGCCTTCATCCAAAAGTAGCAACAAGAGACACACACATACAAGAGAATTGCTTGAAGACAGGAGACCAAAGCCATTGCACCTGGAGCCGCCCAGAGACTCCTGCCCAGGCACAGGAGGATGAGGAGGAAGGCGCCCTGGCATTGTTTGATGGAGTTGGCTCTGACCGCCAAGTTATTCGAAGGGTTTCTTTATCCTCTGATATGCAAGAAACTAGGATAAGACATTTAAGAGGAGTTACTGCTTATCTTCACTGGTGTCTTGGGATAAAACCTGCATTTATCCATTCACACAGTCCAACTGTCTATGTCTTGCATTTGTGCATCATCAGTGTTACCGTAATAAGAAACTGCAGATTCTGTGTCATTCTGCATATTTCAGTATCTTGCTGCTCAGATGTGGTAAGTACAAACATTGTGTAATCGTACTGAAATCTACTTAACTCAGTGGAGCAATCCATTGTTACATCCGTTGTCAGCTACTTTAATTATACTGTAAACATTGGACACTGTGCTGAAAATAATTAACTTTTGGGGTGGATGTTAAATAAAGTAAAGAATACAAATGAAATTGGGGAAGCAGTCTGCATAATAGAGATTTTTTTTCTGCAGAATAAATAATTCCTGTTTCCAAGAAAGAGAGCTTATCCACCTCCAGCAAGAGCCACAATGTGAATACACAAGAAGTAGTGATATGATCTCTTCAAAGTCTATTAACAGGAGTGAGAAAATGAATTCTGAAAATTGTTTACCCACCATCCTCAGGAGGTGGTTTGCAGTGTGCTGTTAGCACAATGCTAATCTCTTCTCCCTTGAAAGTGACCTCGAGTGCCTTGGTTTCCCAGCATCTGGGGATTAAAATACAGCAATAATTTGAAGTCAGACTCAGAAAATATTCTATAAGGTTCAACTTAACAAACAATTAAATGATGTAAATATAAATTGTACTACGTGTTGTGTTTTTCCGGTAACACACTGGTACTAGTGTGAATGGGCTCGTGCAGAACAGTCACTACATGGTAGAACTGTACTTGGGGAATCACTGGAAGGAACGTTGGCACTTCTCCGTCCAAGGGGAAGAGCACGTACAGTAGACAGATGGGCTGTGTGCTCAGGCTGACATAGTACGTATATAGATGCAATAATATGTGTCCCTAAATTATCCACACATAGAGGGCTACCATATGTGTAGTGATGGCTATTTACGTTCGGCAGAGTGGGAATACTATACAGTATTCACTACATAATTATGTGGGGGTGAGTGGTTGTTTCTGTGCTTTTTGCTGTTCAGAATACAGATTAAATGCTAGTTTTATTTTAAGTGTGATCATTTATGTGATCATCCCATAATTTATGGGCTATTTCTCTTATGGAAAAGTTGGATATTTTAATCTTGAAATTGAACAATCCACTGATTTATTAAAAGACTATAGTATCTATGCTTCCCAGAAGACGAATTTTTCTGTCATGTCAACAAGTCAGCTACATGCCCTGGGTGCAGGGCGAGGACCCTCTGAGAGGATGAGCTCCACAGCTTTGGGGATACGTAGGACTCTGTTGGCCTCTTCTGCAGCTGCTGCAGGATCACAGCAGCCCACCCGAAGGCTGAAAGCCATGCAGACTCTGGGAGATCCCTGCGTGGGCTGTAATGGGCTCAGTGGACATGAAGGAGCGTGTGCTATGGAAGGCAGCTGCCTCAAAACGGGGACGTGCAAGTGTCCGAGTCACCATTTCTCTCCCTTTCTGGCTTGGGAGTATTTCTGTTAGCCATGACTGAGAGGCTGGAGGCTCTTTCTCTTTCATTTCCAGCATCTGCTGTTCAAGACAGAGGTCATTTAACCTGATAAAGAAGATTTAAGTTTTTTCAGTGAAGCAGCACAATATTTTTTTTTGGATTTGAAATACACATCATCCTCTGAGGCGGACAAGCACCTGCTGTGGTGGATGTGGGATTATATCTGGGGCAAAGAGCAGAATTTATGCAATTCTGCTTTTTGGGGATCTTGTTGCAATGAGTATGACACAACATGAAGTACAGAGCTGTCCTGCACAGTCACCTGCTCATGTTGCATGTCTGCGGTGCAGGGTGATAGGGATTCAGCAGTCGGCTGCGGGCACGGCTTGTTGCTGCTAGGGAGTTCATGAATAGCTCAAAAGTCTGTCCTTCCCTTCTGCTCTTGGCTGAATTGAAGATCCCTCTGACCTGTAAAGTGGGATGTTCGCAGTACAGACTGACTTCACCGGGCTGTTCTTGAAGTTTGCCAATGTCTCTTGAACACTTTCACGTACACAGGTGAGCTGTGTTTTAAGAAGAGTTCGAAGATTGAAGGTTTGGGCACAAGGAGTAAGAGATTTCTCTGTCATTACTCACTTTGAGACTTTCCCTCTTGTACTGAAATAAAGAACTGTCAGACATGTACTCTACCCAGTCCCTTTCATCAAATGTAGTCAGCCAAAAATTAAGACGGAGCAGATCAGTTTTGCTGGCAGTCACTGCGTGTCGTGCTGGGGTTCTGTGTTCGGTGACACGAGGACCTCCAACTGCATCTGTATGAGTGATGTGTTCTACAGATGGATCTTGGAAATCCATTCAGATGTGGTTTTGCTAGGGCAACAAGCAATTAATTCTAATGCCCTGACCGCTGTAACTTCTGAGGCCAGATGACTGGCCAACAGGTAAGAAACATTTTGATCTTTGTTGTATTAAATTTATTCTTGTGTAAAATATAGTCTCACGTTTGGTGACTCTTCCAGCAGGATCATAAAGGTTCAGTAGTATTGAGCATTAGACCTTCATGACAAGATGTGGCTGTGGTGTTGGCTGGTGTAAACTTAATGTGAAACATCGTTTAAATAGGTCTGGTGTGTCCATAGAGACTTGCAGATGTAGAGCCATGTGGCCGTAATGCTCTTTCGTGTTCAGGCTGTTCAAATAATAGCCCTGGTTGATGGGTACATATAATCTGAAAACTCTCAGAGGCAACGGTATGATATTTCGTGGAGGTAATAATATTTGATCATAGAATGGAGTATGAATTTTGCTCGTTCCCTTATGGCTGAGTTGCATGTGATTATTTATAAGCAACAGCATCTGAACCCTGTAAATATGAAAAGCGTAAAATTGTCTCAACTGAATTTATTTTGCAAAGACTTGCCTCAAATATTTACGTAACTCATGTGCCTAAATAGAGACTGTGTATTGAAGAGTAAGCAAGTATGCAACTTTACCATGTCAAGAACAGAACACAGAAAGCAAACCTCTCCTGTTAGATCCCAGCTGCAAACGTGAAAGGCAACGGGGACAGAGGGGATAGAAGAATGATAGCAGTCATCTCTGGCTTTCTGAAAATATCAAAAGGCCTAGTCAATGTAAATGCAGTATATTTCACTCATACTTACAAAATATTAGAGCTTCAAATCAGTAGATATTATCATAGACATTTGATAATTTGATTAGTTATATTTGTAAAAGCCACACTTGTCCCTAGGACAAGGCATAGAATTTGATATATGCTTTCCGTACACAATACACAATATGGCCAATATCTGTATTTATGGTATAAATCTTATTCCAAACTATCCAGAGAGAAAAATGTGTTCCAGTATCTTCAGAGTGTGCCGTGATAAATAATCCACCCCACTTCAATTTATTAAATGTTTTCAGTTCACAAAACATTCTGAGCAGAAGCATATATCATGGCACAAGGAAAAAAATATTGTCGGTTTATAAAACATTCTGTATATGGCTAATTTCCCTTAAGCCACCTAGGGTCACTGAATGCAACGGGCATATCCTTGCTGCTTTTAATCACGGTTGTTTCCAACTGTGGTCAAAAGGCAAACCTCTGATATGATTTAAGAGGTTTGCTTTTACTTGACTCTGTAAGTTGTAATAATTGCTTCTTTTCAGCTTCCTGAATTTCTGGCCTAACGGGTTACGTTACCCACAGGCAGGTAGCCATATCCAGACTTTAATGGGATCGCAAAGCCTACAGCATCGGAGCCGCGAGCAGCAGTATGAAGGAAACATGAACAAAGTCACCATTCAGCAGTTTCAGCCACCACTGCCCATTCAGATCCCCTCTTCGCAGAGCTCTCGAGCGCCTCAGACAGGGCGATGTTTAATCCAAACCAAGGGTCAGAGAAGTACGGATGCGTATCAGGAGCAGGTGAGAAAGTGTGTCTGTAGAATAACACTTTGACAAAAACTTTCTGGTTTTTTCTGCCTTGCGTACAGCAGGAAGAGGGAGCCTCGGGCAATAGCAGAGGGTGGCGGAGCCGGGCAGCACGGGGGAGCTGGAGGCAGGCGAAGCAGGGCTCTCCTCTTCCCCAGCGCCAGGACGGATACCAGATTTTTATTGGCTTGACCAAGCAACACAATTTGGCATTGAAGTTCCTGAACAGAGCTGACATCACTGGGTCACACCAAATTAATTAGCAATTTCTGCCAACTCCCCAGTAAGTTGGTTCAGTGCTGACAGTGCTGCATACTTGGCGAGACGCTCATCTTCTCGGATTGGTATCGGCTGCTCCTGTTTAGCCCTACAAAAGGGCGGCTGCAGCTCCAGTGCCCTCAGGCTAACAAAACGGGTGCTGGTTTCTTCATTACTTGATGCTATCCCCATTATCTTTGGCCTTAATGATCACAGTAACTGTTTGAGGCGCTTGACTTGCAGAATAAGGTTCAGCATCATTAGCAAACCTTTCTCTTGTGTAAAGCCTTGGTCAATCCACACGAGTAGCTGCCTGCATTAAGTCTCTGAGTATTGCACTGAGATTCAGAAGCAATTGCTTGTGTGGCTCCATGAGTAGTCATTAAGCTACTCTGATGTCATTTTGATTTTATATTCAATTACCCAATGCCATTTAGAGCCATCCTGACTACAAGATAAGATTCAGCAGTATTGCCTGGAGTAAGGCACTTGTAGAAGTGCCTGGTGCTCAGTGCAGGCTGTGGCCCTGACACTCACAACGGTCTGAAGGTCTCTGAGCTTCAGCGTATTTATTCCTTGGCTCTGCCCAAGCATAGCGCCAGCGATGGTGCCCATCTGACACCTTCTGGAAAAATAAAAGTGCACAAGATGAAGCCTCGCTGACAGAGTTATCCCCATGTTTAAGTGAAAAATTTGGCCCATGTGAACTGTGCTTTCAAAAGTCTAAAGGTTGGGGGGTTTTCTCCTTGAAAATATGCAAAAATACATGCAGCATTGTGACTATTATGGTATCATTGCGGCATGCTAAAATCATCAAAATACTTTCTGTCGATAACGAAACTCTACTGACTTTTACTGTTTGTGCAATAAAGCTTTTGAGAGGGTCAGCTCGTCTTGTTAACGGTGAAATGGGATGTAGGAGAAGAAGATGCCATTGTTTAGATAGGCTCTAATGTTGGCATTGACTTATCTTGCCATATCTTTTTAATCTAGTTTTGTGTGAGGATAGAGAAGAATCCTGGCCTTGGTTTTAGTATCAGTGGTGGGATAAGTGGACAAGGAAATCCATTCAAACCTTCTGATAAGGTAAGTTATACATTTCTCTCTAAATGGTCCTTATTTTAGAGTGCCATATAGTGGAGACATAGATAACATGAGCAAAATTTTTATGCACTTCTGTTGGGATAATTGAAAGAATTTTTCCCATATTTGCTTTTTTTTTGTTAGGGCAGTGTTGTTCACGGGGGGGTTTTTTTGTTAATGAAGACAAGGGAATCAAAACAGAAATCATGTGGGTGTCTGCCTTATATTCCATGCGTAAGATAATTTTTGAGACTGTTTTCTGAAGAATCATCTCTCTCACTTTTTTCTGTTAAGAGTCAAAGTAGGCCCTGATTAAATTTTCACTAAAGTCATTGGAGGGAATACTAAACCAGTCATAGCATCACTAGGTAGCTGAAATGCCAGGGTTTATAGCAGCCGTATCAAATAAAATCAGCCTGGCCTGCAAACTGGTGTGGAGATCAGTGGTGCCTTGCATGGATCAGACACCATGGCAAGCAGTCGTCTGTTCTGGAATGCTAATTAAAAATGTCACCATTCTGGTACATGATGGTGAGGGAGACTCAGTGTTCATTCTGGGAATTACACATTTAAGAGGTTGATAAATCTCTTTACAGTACAAGGAAGCCTAGTAAAAATACAACGTCTGGTGATTATCAGCTACACGGGGCTTTAGGATTAGGAGTTGGACTCTGAGGGCTGTGAATTCATCTGTTCGGTGCGGGAAAACTGACTGGAGCTTGTTGAAAAACAAGTACTATGGGTGCCTCTCAGTTAAACATATTCTTCGATAATACTGGCTTCAGTTCTAAGAGGCAGTCATAACTTCCATAAATATTGAGAATGTCTGGCAAATGATGAAATTAAAATGATCTTTCAATCTCGTCTCAAAAATTGGAGATCTGCATGCAAATTAAAAAAATAATTTCCCCACCACTCTGAATTACAACAGAAAGCTAACTGGAAATGTAAAATACGCTTGTATGTAAGAAACAGTCTAACACAGTCTTAATTCCTTTCGATTTTCTCATTGGTAATCTCTGTTTTGAACTTCAAGGATAGTTGTACATGACCATCAGGCATTTTAATGACTATCCTATAAAACATACTCATTTTGGTGCCCTTTGAGACTGCACACTGGAATTGCACTTTATAACATCACGGTCTTTTTTTCCACAGTTTAATGTATGATGTTAGAATTAAGCTATACTTCCACTGTCTATCACTTGCCTGAAATTATTTCAGAAGGGTCTCTATCCCGCTGTGAATGGGTCTGCACCAGTGATACAGGGGGTGCAGGAGCAGCTGTAGCTAGACTTCATTTTACCAGTAGCAGAAATGCAAAATTGTGTACTAAGGGACTGATAGGGTGGTTCTATTGGAGGAATTAATACCTAAAAGGGGGTTTATGTGTTGTTAATCTGAAACATTGCTTCCCGCACCGTTAAATCCAATTTATCACGATTAAATACCACGGAAGCGATAAGAGGGTGCTATTGTCTCTGACCATACATGCCAGTTATCTGCGATGATTTTAAGTCAGGCATGCGGTGCTGTTCTGTCCGTAAGATGAAACGAGTGGGGACAGCAGTGAGCACTCCTCTGCATAGTGATGGTACACCTCTGCCCTAACGCGCTGGTGAGACTGTGGTGGAAGGTCAGGAAAAGCGGTACAATCACAGAAGCGATCAGTCCTTTTCAGTGGCGTCTCAAGTTAACGGGACGTGGACGAACTATAAGCAGCCCATCGCTCTGCCTCGAGGAGCTCAGGTTCTGTAAGGTTAACGGAAACACTGGGTGGTACCTGGCTCCAGAGGGCTTTAAAATCCCTCAGGGACACTCTTACATGGTGGTACCAAGCAGGGAGTTTCTCGGGTGTCTCTGGGAGCCGTGTAAATGGCTGAAATTGGGCCACTGCTCAGTTCTAGAGTCTGCTGAACGGTGTTCGCCCTCGGCAGCGGGGTAAGGCAGCGGAGGAGGTGAGACTAAGGGCTGCATGAGCTCTATGGGAAATATTGCAGATGTGTTCATCATCTAGGAACTCAGTCTTTGATTTTGGGTTATGTTAACGTATTTTACTGAAATTCTGAAAACAGATCTAAAAATATCCTTTATTACTTAATTTTTCCCCTTTCAAAGTCATTCACTCTCAGACACTGGATTAAGGGGCAACCCTACAGACCATTGTACTGAACATCTCAAGAGCTGAATATCAAGACTGCTTTGTAGAAATTGTTTTAAACTTTTTTTTTCCCCTGGAGGAAGTAAACAAAGATTACTGTATAGATTATGGTACACTATTCTAATAAATTAATGCTTGCTCCATTTTAATTATCCTCCCGATAACCCTGTTACCCTTGCCCTATTCAAATTGGACATTATTTTGTGATGTGGAATCTTAGTTTCAACTGACCCACAATTATATTTGTATCAGGTGAGAACTAGCTGTAGCTCGTGGGGAGCTGCTACAAACCCGTACTACTGTTTGATTACAAACAGATTTTAAAAAGTGTTTTGTGTTTAGACCGTTGCCAGAGTATATAAAGCCCCCAGACACCAGTTAGGGAGACCCCTGTATTTTGGGAACTAGTTTTTGGTGATAGCATCCTAACCTCTGTTACTTCTGACTTATAGGGTATCTTTGTTACTAGGGTTCAGCCTGATGGACCAGCATCCAGCCTGCTCCAGCCTGGCGACAAGATCCTCCAGGTATGCGTGGGTTTAACTGAACTCAGTCTTTTTCATCTTAGAAGTACAATGATATTGCTGTCAGTACAAGTTCACTGCCAGTTTTGTTACTCGAATATTGATTTCTAACAGAGTGTTACTCGCAGTACTTTCGAAAGCTGGGCTCGCAGGGAAGGAATAAAGCAGCCCGACTGTCCCCTGTTTGCCCGGCAGTTTCTGCTCCCTCCCCGCGATACTGAGTAAGGCACATGGAGGCCAGCACCAGCCTCCTGGGAGGGAACGGCACTGCCGGAGAGGGTTAGTGCTTGCAATCTGTCACAGGAATGATGTGACACAATTTAAACTCTAAAATGAAATTAATCCTTACATCACATCCAGCTTTTCCACGCTCACAGCGCAAGAAGGTGCAGGGAGAAAGGAGCTTTACAAGCAGTTTCCCCAGCAAAAGCATATGGCAAAGCCAGACGTGGTTAGAGCTTTTGCCTCTGCAGCTGATGTGACACTGCTGTAAGGAGCCATATAGTCACATTTTTTGACAGGATTGTAATGGGCTTTTGCTGCCTCAGCATTTCTGAATGCACTTGCATGAAAAACGGCCACTACCAGATCCACCACGGGAGCATGGGAGCATCTGCATAATGGACAGAGGAATCTCAGCTTTTTGTTTCTGTTTTGTTTCTGTTAGAAATATTTTCTGTATTCCAGTGAACTTTTTAAATAGAAAGACAGGCTATTCCTGAGCACAGCTTTCAAAAATTCCTCATTCACAGAAAATAATGGCTGTCCATGTAGAAAAGGCTTTCCTACCATGTCCTGCAAGGTTGTTTCTTTTTTTTTCTTAAGCCTGGAAAATGTGTTACCTACTGGCAGCAAATAGTATTACACTGACAAAAGGAAGAGAGTCATTATAGATGTCTGAAAGGCTTATGACAGTTTTTAAAGCCTTTCACACTGATCAAGGCTAAGAGGTTAACTGTGGTTTTATGGGTTATATGAAGTCAGCACACTGAGGATGTGTCAGACGCCTTCGGTAGCCTCTCTCCGCCTGCCTCCCTCTCTCCTTCGCTCCCCCTGCCCCTCCAACCCAGCACGGGCACTGCGGTACTGAGCAGCTCCCAAGGTTCTGCTGCATTATCTTTAGGTAGCAAATGTCACTCTCCTAATTTATTCCTCACTTACATTGATGAAGTTTGTTTGACTTTGCACTCTCAGTCATTCTCGTAGGATTGTGGATCAGTCTCAGCAGAGTTTCTCGTTTGTCACTGTCAGTACCTCATTTCAAATTCTCTGGCAAGAACATTTTCCTTTTATTTGCAATTACTTCTACCCATGCATAATCCCTGTTACCAGGTGTTGATTTATATTGTGGCAAGTGGAAGGGCGTTCTTTAATCTCATGAAGGAATTAACAGAGAAGAAACCACAACTGCGATGAAGGCTATTTTACTTCTGAAATATAAGCAAAGCCTTTAGCTAAAGTATCCATTTCCCTAGGCAGTAAGAACTCGAAATTATTAATGCTCTGTGGCGTCACTTCACCTCCCTCCCCATTTTCCACCGTTACCATCACCTCTGTTTGTTTTCCACACCCGCGCTGGCTGTGACACCAGTTTCTGCTGGGACTCGGGGGGAGGAGCCATCTTCCCGCCTTCCCTGTCTTGGCCCACTCTGTCCTCACGCTGTCTGCCCCGTGTTCTGCTTGTAGTAGCCTCAAGATCTGGTCATGCTACAGGCTCTGCCGCCCGTCATCCCCGGCTGACGCTTCCCCGGTGTCGCTGGCTGGCGCCTGTATGTCTTGTCGTGGCGGGTGTCCCCAGTGCCACCGTTTCGGGAGCACCTCGGTGTCTGTGCACCTTCTGTGCTCCCGTGCAGCGAGTTCGGTTCACTCTAGATGATGCACAGGAAGATATTATCAGACCGAGACTCCAGGGGAAGTTTTTTAAATACTTACAGGGAAGAATTTGCTTTGCAGGATGTTTTTAGGAGAAACAGTGTCACGCATTTCTGTGTCTCCCCAAGCAGTTTTGATAAAAGAGGAGGGAAGCTTTAAAAATTAAGAGGCTCGATGTTCCCTGGGTGGACTCAGGCGGCTCACGGAGAGGCTGTCCTTCTTACCCGCGGTGCCGCCCGGTGCCTGTTTTTGCTAGAAATGAGTCTGTGTGCGCGTGCACGCACGTGTGCGCCTTCTGCCTGGGGGAGCACAATGGGTGTATCTTTCCCTTCTGTGTCATAAGCTCCTAAGTTATGTATTTGATAAGTAAGACTGGTTTTTCTGTTCTAAAATTAGCAGCAGTTTTAGTAGATGAGTTTTACGGAGGAACGCAGTTGTACGGCTGCCGAGGCTGTTGCAGCTCTGCCAGCCGTGTCGTACGTCGCCGCCATACGTTGAAGGCTGCCCTTCACTTCTAAGAAATCTTGGGTTGGAGGCTCCATGACTCAGCTAAAACCCATTCTTTTGGACTAATAATTAGAACTAAATAATAACTCAATGTGTACCTATACATGTGGATTTTGTAGCATCTTTTGTGGGGAATCTGAGACCACAG